TCTCACCCTTTTTCAAACACCCTCCCTTGTGGAGTGTTCCCTCAACTTCTTTTCCTCTCTCCTTGGGAGTCGTCTGGGCAGCTGCTGCTGCCACCCCTGGCCTCTGAGCTCCCCCGGCCCCAAAGAGAGGTGCCTCCTCACACTGCCCCACAGGAGCCTGGCACTTGTCTGTCCATTCCCAACAGCAAGGGCTGGCTGGCTGCACTCCCTTGCCAGCTTGCTTGCTTACTCCCGGGCTGCCTCAGCTCCTGGCAAACAGCACCCCTTGGCCAGCCGCAGAGGCACCACTCGCCTGGGGAGCTTATAGCCAGGGCTGCTGAAATAAACAGTTGTGCAATCCTTTGGGAGGCAGAGACATGAGAGGGCATGAGAGGGGGGAGGGAAGGAAAGAGGGACAGATGCCAGTGTTGTCGAAGGCCCCCCTGACCATCACTCAAGGCACCCCAGGGTGCCACGGCACACTGGTTGAAAACCACTGGGCTAGGCTACTGGAAACAGTACACAAAAACACTTTAGGACAAGTTACAGATAGGTAGCCGTGTTGGTCTGCCATAGTCAAAACAAAAAAATTCCTTCCAGTAGCACCTTAAAGACCAACTAAGTTAGTTCTTGGTATGAGCTATGGCAGACCAACACGGCTACCTATCTGTAACTGGAACTATGGAAGGCACCACATTGAGCCGCATGAAATGGAAGTCCATCAACCTCACCAAGAAACTCCTGTTTCAATGTATCTGAAGAAGTGTGCATGCACACGAAAGCTCATACCAAGAACTAACTTAGTTGGTCTTTAAGGTGCTACTGGAAGGAATTTTTTTGTTTTGACTTTAGGACAAGTGACTCACAATCTTAACACTTGGGTGGACAGCTCCCAGGTCGACAAACCAGACTTGATCTGTTTTCTCTCATCAGTTCTCTCTTGCTCTTATTTGAGAATCCTTCTACTTTCTCATTCTCCCATAATAAATATTTACTTTCCCCTGAGAAACGTACTTATGGATGATATTGTACAAATAAGCAGTGCTGTTCCCCATAACATCTCTACAAAGAATCAAAGCCTAAGAAGGCATTGGCACCCATGGCATTTGGCCATTTGGGCACCCATGCCATAGGTGAAATTCTAAACATGAGATAAAGTTACAGTATGAACCTGCCCAGGCCCTGAGATCATCATCTGAGGCTCTTTTCTGTGCGCTACTTCCAAAGGAAGGTGGCAATGACAGACTAGGCCTTCTCTGAGGTAGCCCCCTCCCTAGGAAAAACCTTGCAATTATTTCAGCACCAGGCAAAGCTGGGGTTTTTAAAATTTATTTCCCAGGCATTATTCATGTGATTTTATCATTCTATTTTTTACCCGGCTAAATTACCTTGAGAGGTTTTTTATTAGTAGCAAATGATACAGAAATGTAATAAATCTAACCCAGTACATACAAGGTCCCACCATCCCATGTTTTTTGGGCTTGTCTACAGAATGGGATAGTTGCCCTCTCCATATGTTTATCAAGAACATCCTCTTTAATGCCGTGTCATGCTTGTGCAAAACACACAGAGGCTGGGCCTGGGATCGTGGCCTTAGCTACACTTGAGTTGTGGTAGTGTGTGTACTTGCCTGGGGTGGACCTTGCTGGATGTTGAACGGCTGGCTCTGAACCTAAGAGAGGAATAATAAACATAACAAAAAATCATACCCAATAGCTTGCAAGTGATACAGAAGTACGAAAACGGGACATGAAACAAGATATTGTAGAATAATCTCTCATCTCTTTTCATATGGCACAGTCCAATTGCAAAAGGATTCAACACTCCAAAGGATCTCTGCCTATTTCTCTAATTTTTCCCATGTTTGTTTATGATACACCTATTTATGCATTAACACGCCCCAGCTAAGAGGGCAGTTTCTCCAAGAAAACAGCAGGTTCAGGCTCCTGTTTTTGTTTTGTTTTGAGGAGAAGAGCATCTTAGCAGAAGCACATTTAGCCCTGGTTGAATGAATTCCTGGCTGAGATCTCCTTATATCCACAGTGCAGCTTGGTTTTCTCACATTCCCAGCAGTAGCTTCCTCCCTGAAATTGCTCCAGAACACTTTAACCAAGCTAGCACTGAAGAGATCAGGAAGGGAGCATTTCATCAAAGCACAGAATGTGAATTTATTTACTTGCTGCATTTATAACCTGCCTTTCCTTCCCCTGCCCCCCCAAACAAATAAAATGACATACAGTGGTACCTCAGGTTACATACGCTTCAGGTTACAGACTGCACTAACCCAGAAATAGTGCTTCAGGTTAAGAATTTTGCTTCAGGATGAGAACAGAAATTGTGCTCTGGCAGCAGCAGGAGGCCCCATTAGCTAAAGTGGTGCTTCAGGTTAAGAGCAGTTTCAGGTTAAGTACGGACCTCCGGAATGAATTAAGTACTTAACCTGAGGTACCACTGTACATGGTTCTCCGCACCATCCTTTTATCCTTACACCAACCCTGTGAGGTAGGCCAGCCGGAGAGGTATTGACTAGCAAGCTCCAAGACAGTGTGGAGATTTGAACTCAGGTCTCCCTTGTCCCAACCACTGCACCACACTATGTGTGACTATGTGTACACACAAGACACAGGACCCCTTTACTTTCCTGTGCAAGTTTGTATTTAGATCTTGGTTTTTTTTAATTAAAAAAAAGCAGTTGGCTAGGAACTAAGTGATATTCACCAGGCTATACATTTCTCTTGGAATAATTAGCAGTCAATTAGTCCTAATTGTTTATGTGGGACGTAAATGAGCTCAGCAGCTGTAGTTAGCATCCATATAATAGTAATGAACAATTAAAAAAACCCTACTGCTCAAACTGCAACTGCCCATTTTCATTTAATTAGAGCATGATTACTGGAGATCCATGTGGGTGCAATCGCAGGGGAAGCTGGGCTGAAAGGATAACTTTAAAGATCCTCTGGTCCATTACCCCGGGGAAGAGAATTTGTACCCACAAGGATCGTCCATTTTTCAGGCCCATGGGCACATCTGCAAAATGGGGCAACTCCCGTGGTATCACAGACCTACCAGAGCCACACACACACTTGCCCTGCAACTATGCACACACATGCACACTCTCTTTCCCTCCTTCCTGCCAGCATTTAGGCCTGGCATTTCTCTTTTTTCCAGTTCAAGGGGGCAGATGAGCTTCCTCAAAAGTACAGCTGAGCAGACAAGACTTTACCTTCTCAATTTCTAATTTCAGCAGGGGACTGACTGGGGCAGTGGGGGAGAAGAGGCAGGAATGGGACTCTATGGGAGCCAGGGGTGCTTCTATGGGTGCAGGTGCAAACCCAGCTCCTGCACTGGTGACTGATGATATACCGCGGCCTGCAAATGTTTTCCTGCCATTCTGAAATGTTTTTAGAGTTAAGAAGTCGTTGAACTTCCCTTGGTAACTCCAAACCCCATGCAACCCCGTATTTTGGCCTTCAGTGTTCTTGGTGCTCAAATCCAGCTCCTTCTGAGGAATAGCCATAGGAAGACACCAACATCTTCTTTGTTTGCTTGTCCACTCACAGAGGCGTTTGCCGGGCCCTCGTTGGAAGCGTTAATGCTGGACTAAATGGAGATTTGGACTCATCTAGCAAGAGCTGTGTTCTTCAGGGAGCGCCTAGACTACACTCCATTAGGCCGACTCCAGGACTGAGGGAGTCCTCAGCTAGTTGCCTCTCTGTGAGCTCCTTCTTTGCATGGGGGCCTCCCATTTTTTGATTTTGGAGGAGGGAGGAGGTTCCTTTAGTATAGGAAAGCAGTGGGATGTTTTTCTTCAGAACTGAAAGCATCAAGACAGCTCCTCTTGGAGCAGGCATGGCCAAACGTGGCCCTCCAGATGTTTTGGGACTACAATTTCCATCATCTCTGACCACTGGTCCTGTTAGCTAGGGATGATGGGAGTTGTAGTCCCAAAACAGCTGGAGGGCCAAGTTTGGCCATGCCTGTGACTTGGAGCAACCAACATTGTCCGCTAGGTTGTAAGTTGCTTTGATTTGCCTCGGGCAAGATAAAGTGACTATCAAATTCTATAAATAAATGAATAATAAGCTGCATTTGTACCAGAAGATTGCTCCTCCTACCTCACTACACACTAACTGGCAGCAGCCCTTTCCACCACTAAAACATGGTAATTTTCAAATCAAAGAGCAACAACACTATGTTTACAGGCCCGCCCCCCAAAAAGCATAATTTACAAATTCTCCTAACTTTGGCTACCTTTTAACAACTAATCAGCAGTTTAAAACAGCAACAACTAAACACTTGTGTATTTGAGGATCACTCTGTAGGATTAGTATATGTTCTCCTAAGCACACAAAATCATCAGCTCTTTCCAGAGAACACACATTTTACTTTTTTATGAGTTGCAATTTGCTCTTTCCCCACTGAGGTGGACCTGAAGCGCCTGACCACACATGAAACCAGAAAACACACCAAATCATAAAACTAAATTACAAGGGAAATTAAAAAAACACAACCCAAAATACATTCTCCTGCCAAGCCCAAAATTCCCCAGGATGCTGCTTCTCCACCATTAAGCTCCCATGCACCTCACTCCATGCACCATCATTAGAGGGGAAAGGCCGTAACCCAGTGGTGGAACCCATGCTTTGCATTAGAAGATGACAGGTACAATCCCAGTCGTTCCTAGGTAAGGCTAGCAAGGGCCCTTGTCTGGAGAACTCCTGCCAATCAGCCTAGGCACTTCTGAGCTAAGATGGGTCAGTGGTCTGACTTCGCGTAAGCCAGCTTCGGATATTACTAAAGGTGGAGCGTGTCAGCTTTTCAACGTAATGGGTGCTGCCTCATTACAAGGCTGAAAGGCGCATCAAAATCCTCAGTTGTCTAAACTGCGTGAAACACCCGGAGCCAAACTAAACGTGAGACTTCAGTATAAACAAAACAATGGAGTTTTAAGAGACGGCTAGGCACTCGGAAGCTTAAACCTCACTCACAAAAAAGAAAAGCTTATTAAAATTGCTACATACCTGGGGAAAACTGCCAGACAGGCTTAGACACAGATAACAATGCCACTGGGATTAACCGGGTGGGGGAAAGGGAATGCTTGGATCCTGGTTCGCACAAGGCTTTGTCTCTCAGTTGGTCCTGACGAAGTTCCCAGAATCAGCCATGGAGTCTGGATTCTTGCTATGAAGCAGCGGCGGTGGTGGCGGCGGCAGCTGTGCCCTAAGCCCCCTGGAGACACAAGAGGGAAGCTGCTGTCAGTACATCTGAGGCCTCTACAGTTGTATACGCAGCTTATGATGCATGAAGAATTGGCATCCTTCCCCAGCCCTTTCCTTTTAGGGCTCTGGAAACAAACCCTGCGTTGGTTGGCGGAGGAAAGAGGTAGGATGGGTCAAGCTCAGCTGCCAGAAGAGGGTTTCTAATTAACAACGCAGCACAACACCGCTCCAGGAAGCAGAGACCCCCAAAAGAAACCCCCGGAGAAGAATCAGCATCCTCCGTCACTTCAGATGGGCTTCTGCCATCGGAAAACAGTTCTCTCCCAGCTTTGCCATTTATACACCACACTTAGCTGGAGCACAGCTCCCGGCACTTAGAATCAGCCAGGGAGTGTGTGGGAGAGCTCTTGCACACACAGACACGCCAGGCACATACACACAGAGTTCCCCCACCCCTCCATCCCCCTGTCACTGCAGTAATTCATCAATTTCATCTGATTCAGCACTTGCCGTTCAGTTATTCCTGGAGTGGGAAGGCTGTCGGCTACAGCTAGGTCACAATTTGCAAGCGGGGGGGGGGGGCAGAGGTGGGCCTTATAAGTTGCCTGGTGCCTCTGCCCCCAGGGACCATCAAGTGTCACAACCAGAGATGTATTACCAGTCCAAAAACCTGGCAGGCATTTGTCCTGCTGCGCTGCATCCAGCCTATTCGGATTCTTCAGAGAAATTATTATCTTTCATACAGCAACTAAGAGGGGAGAGATAGAAGCCTGGGTGGAGACCTGGCGGCGAAATCCACCTCGTTTCTGATCTCAGTTTAGTACCGCCTTCCCCAACCTGATGTCTTCCAAACATTTTGGGCTACAACTCTCACCGTCCCTGACCACTGGCCATGCTGGCTGGTGCTGATGGGAACTGTAGTACAAAGCATAAGAGCTGTCTTGTTGGATTAGACCACGGTTTCCCAAACTTGCATCTCCAGCTGTTTTTAGACTACAATTCCTGCCATCCCTGATCACTGGTCCTGCTAGCTAGGGATGGTGGGAGTTGTAGAATCATAGAATCATAGAATCATAGAGTTGGAAGAGACCACAAGGGCCATCGAGTCCAACCCCCTGCCAAGCAGGAAACACCATCAGAGCACTCCTGACATATGGTTGTCAAGCCTCTGCTTAAAGACCTCCAAAGAAGGAGACTCCACCACCCTCCTTGGCAGCAAATTCCACTGTCAAACAGCTCTTACTGTAAGGAAGTTCTTCCTTGTAGTCCAAAACCAGCTGGAGACCCAAGTTTGGGAAACCCTGCATTAGACCAAAGGCCCGTCTAGTCTATCCTGGTCTCAGAATGGTCAACCAGATGCCCATAAGAAGCCTGCAACCAGGACCTGAGCACAGCAACACTCTCCCCACTTGTGATCCCAAACAACTGGTATACAGAGGTATGCTGTCTCAGGGAGTGGAGGCACAAAATAGCCTTATAACCTCAATGAATATGTCTAACAGCCTTTTAAAGCAACCTACGTTGGTGGCTATCATTGCCATCTTATGGTAGTAAATTCCACAATTAAACAATGCACTGTTTCCTTTGGTCTGTCATGCATATTCCAACACTCAACTTCACTGGACGGCCCTGAGTTCTAGTGATATGAGAGAGGAAGAAAAACCTTTTTTCTATCTGTTTTCTCTGCACCATCTTCCACACCTCTACTGAAGCTTGCTCCGGAGCCTTGACCATTTGGGGGGCCCTTTCCTGATCCTTCCTCAACTTTACCGCGTCCTTTTTGAGGTACGGCAACCACAACTGTACATGGTCAAATCAGATTTGCATAATAACAGTGTGGCATCATGTTGTTTAGCCCAAGCATCTCATTAATCAAGCTAGGGATGAATACAGTGATTACACAATGAATTTAATCGGCTGCCTATTAAAGACTACATGACGTGGTCCCAATCTTTCCTCCAAGGCACTTCTAGGATTGCTCACCCAATCCTGATTCAGATATTATTTCCCGGTTGCCTCCTTGGAATAATTATCCTTGTCAATGCAAATAAGGGCATTTCAACCTCACACCTTTCTTGAGTAACTTGGGTCATCATTCATGGGCTGCTGCCTTTCTCTATGGAGCTGTGAGCACTGCCATCCCAGAGTAAACAAGACTGTCTGTTCCTGCTCACCTATCCCAACAGGAGGAAAGTTCACGAGCCTTTTATTTTAAAGAGTCAAAATGCTTCCGCCTCTTTTCTTTGGCCAGGACTTAAGAGAATGCAGTCTCTAAGGCTCAAATTAGAGGCTGATTCACACTTCACAACAGCAGGTACACTTGCTGCATTTACACCAAGGATGCCAGTTTGAGTTCACTCTAGGCGCGCTCCTTTGCATCAGAATGCTGGTGAGCTTTTCATTCAAAGAAAAGAAATAATTGGGAACACACTGAGAGGAAGAATCGGGAGCAGGGGAAAGCCAGGCATGAGCTGCCCAGAACAGCCCAAGGGGCCAACCTCAAGGCCTTGTGGGTTAATCAGGCCACAGGCCAAATGTTCCCCACCCCACTTTAGTACAGTGGTACCTCGGGTTACAGACGCTTCAGGTTACATACGCTTCAGGTTACAGACTCCGATAACCCAGAAATAGTACCTCGGGTTAAGAACTTTGCTTCAGGATGAGAACAGAAATCGTGCTCCAGCGGCGCGGCGGCAGCGGGAGGCCGCATCAGCTAAAGCGGTGCTTCAGGTTAAGAACAGTTTCAGATTAAGTACAGACCTCCGGAACGAATTAAGTACTTAACCCGAGGTACCACTGTATTTAAAAGCAGCTGGATAGCTCAGTTGGCTAGAGCGTGGTACTGATAAAGTCAAGGTTGCAGGTTCAATCCCTGCAAGGGACAGCTGTATATTCCTGCATTGCAAGGGGTTGGACGAGATGAGCCTCAAAGAAAATCTCATGGGCTGGGCAAAATGAAACATTCATTTTGCAGAAGAAAAACGGGTGATGGTCAGAAACACGAGTCCCCAGATGGGAAAACGCTTACACAGAACCCAAAATAAATGCAACACAGAGGGAAAAACAAGCAGGCACCCCCCCAAACAACAACAACAACAACAACAAGTCAACTGCAAAAATAAACAATTGGAAGGGACGGGGGACCTTGAAATCACCATGGGATGTGCCCAAGGATGTCGTGGTGCCTTCAGGTGGTTGGTGGACTTCTGCCCGAAGCCTTTCAACAGCAGCCACTAGGCAGGACCATAGAGGACAGCCATCTGCCCCATGCCTTTTAGAAACCCCTCCTCCCCGTTTGTTGGTTTTGTTTATTAATAGCCTCCTGTGTATGCACTGTACCTTGACAACAGTAATGCCTAGTACAACTGCTGCATGATACATCAGCAAAGCACCAAGCAAACATTAACTAATTAGATGGCAAGCTCCCCATGGCAGGGTCCTGGCACTGTTCTGCCTATGACTTCACAACTTAATCCTCCGACTATTGCAGAGATGCAGAGTTTCTCTCTTGCAGCATCACAGAGTCTGGCACCCCCCAGAAGTAGCACCCAAATTAATTAGCAACTGATACAGAATGTTTGCACTGCCCTCCCCAAAGCCAAGGCCCTTCCTCCTTCCCTGCTGGCAATGTTATTGCTAAAGTCCTAAGCACATTAAAAAGAGCCCCTCTGGGTGAAACCAAAGGCCAATCTAGCCCAGCGCTCTGCTCTTACAGCAGCCAACCAGATGTGCATGGGAAGCCCACAAACAAGCAGGACGTGAATGCAGCAACACTTGTCCAAGTCCTATCTCTGACACTAGATAACAAAACGAGTAGCCACTGAGAGCTTTATCCTCTACGTCAGTGCTTTTCAACCAGTGTGCTGGGGCACTCTGGGGTGCCTTGAATGATGGTCAGGAATGCTGTGGGCAACACTGGTCTCTGTCCGTATTTCCTTCCTTCCCTTCTCCTCTTGTGTCTCTGCCTCCCAAATGCTTGCACAGCTGTTTGCTGCAGCAGCCCTAGCTACAAGCTCCCAAGGTGAATGGTGCCTCTGGGGCTGGCCAGGGGGTGCTTCCCAGGCCCCTTTGGGGCAGTGTGAGCAGCCACCTCTCTTTGGGGCGGGGGGGGCAGCTCAGAGAACAGGGGTGGCATGTGTGGCTATCCAGAGGACTCCCAAGGAGAGGGGAGAGGAGAGGAGGTTGAGGAGCACACTCCACATGGGACGGGTATGGGGCTGCCAGCTCTGCATAACCTGAGCCCCACAGGGGTGCCGTAGAAAGAATGCAGTTGGTCAAGGGAGCCGTGGACCCAAAAAAGTTGAAAACCCCTGCTCTCTAATCCCCCTTTGAATGTTGTCCAAGATGGTTGATATCACTACATCTTGAGGTATTGAATCCCATAGTTTTAGTGTGTGCTGCATGACAAAGAATCTCTTATTTCTACCTTGAACCTTTCAGCATCACTGGGGTTTGGAATTTATGAGGAAGAAAAACTTCTCTCCATCTACAGATCCCGCCTTGTCACCTTTCTGTATAAACTAAAGAGCCGCCAGTGCTGTAACCATTCCTGAAAGAAGAGTGGTCCCAGCCTGCTGGTTATTTTGATTGCCCTTAACCCCCCCCCAAAAAAACCCACCCACCACCCTTTTCCAGTTCCACAATATCTTTTTGAGGCGCAGTAGCCAGAACTGTACTCAGTACAACAGGTGTGATTGTATCATAAAATTGTACAAAGGTAATGAAATATTGGCTGTTTTATTTTCAAACCCTTTCTTAACGATCCTCAACATGAAATTTATTCTTTTCACAGCTGTCCCACACTGCATTAACCTTTTCATTAAGCTACCATCCTCCACAATTCCAAGATCGCTTTATTCACCAGTCACCCTCAACCTCAGCCCTCCAGATGTTTTTGACCTACAACTCCCATGATCCCTAGCTAGCAGGACCAGTGGGCAGGGATGATGGGAATTGTAGTCTCAAAAACATCTGGAGGTAGAGGAAGCCTGGTCTAAGAGTTAAAATCTC